TAACTTAACGTTCAAATTACGCTAATTTTATTTCTATTTATGAACGACATTTTTATCCTTGATTATTTCATTGTAATTAGGATAATAATTTGTATTATTAATTATGGATGTGAAAAAGTATCTAAACGCTAAGCGGCTCGGAATATTTAGTATTGCAACGTACACAACAAGTGTTTAATTCGCGTATCCATAAGTTAACAAAGATTTATAATGTTTCGAAAAACTAAACTACCCTAAAACCTCGTGAATAGGTCCTCCCCGTGTATAGTTCCGGGTGAAAATTTTCACGTGTACGGAGCGTCCGTAATTCCGTATGACCGTCATTAGGTGTGTTTCGTTTTTTTCGGTTTCTTGCAAATAACGCCGCTCACGAATGGTATTTTTGCAATTTTGATGGAATATTTGTTCGTATTCCGACTGGCTCCAACAATTTGGTGGTTTAATGAAAGAAATTGCTGCATGAGGCCCTGAGAACCGGCCTCTTTTGGCTTTCATATAGCTTTTGGGCCTAATTGTACCCTACGCACATTATTTGGTGTCATTTGGATTCGTACGGAACAAAATTGTACCGGACCTATACACGAGGTTTTAGGGTAATCTTTCGATGAATTAGCGGATTAATTACCCAGAAATATTGATAATGTTCTGAAACATTTTTTTATGCGCACATCAGCAAGTCATCAAAACGGACCCTAATTCATCGCGCCATGAAAAGGCGAGCGGGCGCGTTGCGTTGTCGCGGGGCGGCAAAATTCATGCCAACAACTAGTCATAAATATCCATAGTTATGCCTTGCTTGCCCCTTTAAGTCAAAAAATAAGACCTGAAAACCTAATTTTCGAATGCGAGATGAATGGACTGGCCAAGCAGCAGAACAACTTGATAGCCAAAATTCCGAAACACAATTTTTCTCGAAAACGAAGGTTTCAAATTTTCTTCCAGTTTTAGTAGTGATTAACATGAGTAACAATAATCAGATGCCAGCAAAAGGACTTGAAGATTGTTCTGAAACATAGATTTTTAAATTTCTAAAAATTCTACATGAATGGGACTTATTTTATTTTACTAAATTTTATATTGATGAAAGTTAAAGAAATGATAAACCGATTAAATTACGATTTCTAGAGGCATCGAGCTGGAGCAGTCGGTCTCGGAAGACTCCTGGGAATTGAAGGTGATCACTGCGATTTTATAATTTCAATGGCATTTAACATAATTAAGCTAACGCGAAAATGACTAATTTAGGACAACGGAACGCTCCTAATTCCGCTCGGCGCTCAGCCTGGCGATTATAAATGTGCCGTCGCCTACAGCACCAGCCCGAGGTGGGTATTTGGTAGTTTGCTCTTCCGCTTCAAGCCAAAAAGAGCATGATCACCTTAAAGTAAATACTATTTTATAGTTTCTTTTCGTTATCAAACTGTAGGTCAAAAAATGGAAATTCAAGGAAAAATGTTTCAAAAATTTCATAAACAATAAAATTTACCAATCTTCTAATTGGCTCTCATTGTTTTCATTCTTCCTTCTTTGTCATGATAAGTGTTTGCTGAAAATTCTCGGCTTTATGTAGTTTTAAAGTTCGAATAGCGTGTTTTTCTTTGGTTTGGATCGGAACGGGTTTTTTGGTGCTTTATGCAATTTTCCCATTTTTCGAAATACCAACTCCAAATTTAAAAACCTTTTCACGAAAAATTTTGAATGTTTTACAGCAATTTAAAAATTAAAAATTATAACTTCTTTAATGCACGCGTCCCTAACTCATTTTTCGGGTATTTGTCGCGCGTGTGCTGTGCTTCAAACATCCATTCAAAACCCGCGAAAAATTAAATGATTCTACAAATTCAAAAGTCTACTGGTGCGTCTTGTAATTATGCATCGAAGTTTTGCTGCATAATTGATGTTTTATCAACCTTCCAAAACTAACAACTTGGTGGTCTTTTAATCGTAGAAGGGTAGTAGAAGAGGAATCTCACGAAATTGGATGCTTAGGAGTTGCGCCAACCAAAAAAATTTTTTTTGCTAGTATTTTTAATGGCATGACGATTAGAATTTTTTCTTTGTCAAAGAACATTTCGACCTTCGATAAATGCTCCTGAAATAATGCCGCTGAGAAATTGGATGTTTTTTAAAGTTACGGCAACTAAGAATTTTTCACATTTTTAATGCCTGGACCAAGGTTCTTCATTTAATTTTTTTCTTGGAATTTCATTAATTTAAAATTTTCTGATTTTAGAAATGCTCGTCAAATCCGGCCGACCCTGTCGAGGATGTCGACAGCTCCGGAGTTCACCTTCAAGCCGAAGGACTCGAGTTATCGTGAGGGGACACCGGTCAAACTGCATTGCGAGGTGACTTTAATACTCAAAACAAACTAAAACTAAAAGTTGTTTACTAAAAAAATGTGTTTTATTAAAATAGTCATTTTTCGTGTAGAAAGAGGTATTAATGAAGCTTCGGTAGTCGCGCATTCCGTACAAAAATAATTTTTGCTCCTTTTATAAAGCCCTAGTATCCAAGAAAGGCTATGTATCAACGATTTCAAAAATGATCCATTTTCAAAAGTTTTAAATTTCAAAATTTTCAATTTTCAAGCCAATTTTCTGATGTTTATTCTATCCCCGTCCATTTTGGTCTTGTTAGTTTCACTTATTGCCGAAAAACGACGATTGTTTCTATTATGTAATAAGACTGAAACATAGATAAATCAAAGCTAAAGAACAATTAAATAAATCCAAGTTGGAAAATGATGTAGACTGGATGTCAAAACGAAATCGAAAAAAATGTGTTATTAGGTGACAGGAGAGCCACGCCCGTCCATTGCCTGGCTTCGTAACCGTCAGCCGCTAGTGTCTTCCAGAAAGTTCGAAATGACGCAAGCTAATTCTGTGCTCAAAATCTACCCGTTCTTGGAGGCCGACGCTGGAACGTATGTTTCATCGTTTTATTGGGCTTGGAAAAACGAGATGCCTTGCACTGGTTCTGCGCTTTTCTTCAACGACAATCTCCTAAACAATCTCTACTAGCCTGCCCTCTCCTCTTCCTCAACAATCTCTGCTAGCCTGCCCTCTCCTCTTCCTCAACAATCTCTGCTAGCCTGCTCCCTCTCCTCTTCCTCAACAATCTCTGCTAGCCTGCCCTCTCCTCTTCCTCAACAATCTCTGCTAGCCTGCCTCCTCCTCTTCCTCAACAATCTCTGCTAGCCTGCCCTCTCCTCTTCCTCAACAATCTCTGCTAGCCTGCCCTCTCCTCTTCCTCAACAATCTCTGCTAGCCTGCCCTCTCCTCTTCCTCAACAATCTCTGCTAGACTGCCCCTTTGAAAAATCTGTTTCAGTTATACTTGTATTGCCGAAAACATCCATGGTCGTATCGAACACACAGCACGAATCCATCTGATTAGCAGGTGAGCCTTTGAATCATATAAAAAATTCTATATTTTTAACATATTAGCAAAATACAATAATTACAAACTAAATCATCACAGTTAAATTCACTTACACCATTTCCAGCGTTCCTCCCGCCATTTTTGACCCGCCACAAGCCACTTCAGTCGAACCAGGAGAACAGGTCGGATTTTGGAATATTGAAAAACAAAACGTTTCATTAAAAATGTAAATTGCTACAATTTTTGGTTGGACTACTGTACTACTATAGCGTTTGTATATTTATTTTACGCTCTAAAAATCAAGAACGCCCAGATTTTCAAGGCTTTTTGAAGAATGTGTTTCAAAAACTTCTCCAAAGCAATAAGCCGAGATGGACTTTAGTGCACAGATCCGTCGGAAGAGGACAGCTTAACAACAATCATATAGAAAGTAAAAACGAAATTAAGGTTGAAAATTGATCAGCGCTATTTGGATAGAGGCCAACATAGCTCAAAAAAAATTTTGCGGCATAAATTAAAATAAAAAAAAAAACTGTATTGAATCAAAAAAAATGTTCTAGAAAAACTCAAACTTCGAAAACAATGGTTGCTAGCATTGAACCCTTCGATGCAGCAAATTGCTTGAATATTTTTTTTCAGATTTTGTTGTTTATTTTTCTTTTAATTGGGTCGTCTCAAAAATATGTTTAACTCTAATCTGTAATAACTCTTAATGCATTCTAATAAATCACCATAAGAATTAAAAAGGTTCAAAACGTGTTTCAAAAAAGTAATACTAACGGGAAAAATTGTTCCGTTACGGCTCTTTTCTCTAGCCGACATTAAATGAATGTAAACTACAATTTAATTTTAAAAAACATTAAAGTGTACATCGCGGAAAAAAATAAAATAATTATGCAAATTCAGGTCACATTCCGGTGCCGGGCCCGAGGCGTCCCGAAGCCCGACATCTCGTGGTTTTTCGAAGGGGCCGAGATGCCGCTGAAGCAGGGAAGATATCAGGTAAGAGGTTTTTAAAGGCAGTGGAACAGCTCGGTTTCGACTCGACATTATTTACTTTGCTCTCATCTTTAGGCAATTTTAAGGGACGTGGTGTCTACACTAGTAAGAGATAAAAGTTTTCTAAACGCCAAAAAATTTCGTGTTTCAGAATAACCGAAAATCGCAAAAGTTTTTCCTTGATTAATGGTTTCTGGCAAAACTCGCAAAAATCCAAAAAAATTATTTAAATTGATCTTAAAATCATTGAAAAACCAAAAATGCCTTCATTTTTCCGATTAATTCGCATGTTTCAAGTAGCGTTGATGCCTCCAAAATTTCTAGGATCTACAATCCGATCAAGGTCCGTTTTAATTTAGTGCCAAATGAATCAATTACAAAAATTTTTTTAGGTTTTTTTAAGAAGTAGTACCCTTCAAAAACGTACTTCCTGGATTGATTTGCCATTACAAAAAAATTTGTTGAAAATTATTCTTCTGTGTTTTCAGACCTCCGACGACCGGACCGAGATGACCATCTCGCACGTCTCACGTCAGGTAATAATTCTTAGTTACGAAATTAAGTCATTTTTATCGATAAGCTTCCAAATTTTCATTTGATTTTTTCAAGTAAATTAAATCATTTTCTAAATCGTTACAGGGTTTATTAAACATGCTAAGTATATGTTTGGTTATTTGTTTAATTCTCGGCCAAAAATTGGTTAGATTTGAGAGGACAACAGACGGCGTATTGGTGGTTAGAGAGAACACGAAGCGAACCACATGGTTGAAACATCTTTTTTTGAAAACGATTGTCCACTTTTGAAAGCTTTTATCATTTATTTTTTATTTTTCTAAATTCCCATGAAAGTATACCTCGATTCTAGGGATCGATTTTTTGCAATATCCATGGCCAAGCGTCTTCGAGATCTTTGCATCTGTTATACAAGACCAGATAACGATCAACTTACGCACAGTGCAAATCTGAAATTATACGCCACCTCATGAAATGGGGCTATTAATCTTTCGAAATCGAACTGCAAACGATACAACTTTGAAACATCTTTTTCAAAAATTTCTGAAAAAGAGTTTCTTGTGTTTAGCGACTTTTAAATTTTATCACTATATTTTAATTCTTCGGATTATTCGAACGAGAGTTTTATAAGAGGATTTTGGGGTTTTTTTTCGTTTTTGGGCAATATAAAAGACCATCGTAATTGCTCCCGAAATCTGGGATCTGAAATTCCGCACCAGCGCCTTCGACGAAAGCCGAATCTTTGAGAAATCAACTATACTTGTTCCTTTAAAAAATCCTTTTCCCCACCAAATGTCACAAAAATTGTTTATGCTGTTATTGATTTTTGATTTCTAAAAAAATAATTTCAAAGTTTACTTTTGATTTTAGGATGATGCTCGTGGCAAAATTTCTTTCTGAATAGGTTTTTTAAATGTATCGAAAATTTTTTGTGAAAGTATAAAGTAGCAGCCAAGGCTCCTTTCAGCTCAAATTTGAAATTGCTCACCAAAACAACGAGAATTGAGCTCGTAGAAATCACCTACATGTGCTACAAAAGTTGAGACATAATTTTTATTGCGAAACAGATATAAAAAACAAATTTCTGAACCAGTTTTTTTATTTAATTTTTGATAGTTTATTGATTTTAGTCTTTTTTTAATAGCTTAGTTTAATTGAACAGGTCCCACCTCCAATTGTAAATTTTCAGGATGAGGGTGTCTATTCCTGCATGGCCGGAAATAGTGTCGGCGCCATGATGGCCGAGGCGCGGCTGAGCGTCAAGGGCAAATTGCAGGTTGAGGTATGTAAAATTTAATTAAAATCTATTTCCCGCCTAAACATTAAATCTTGCGATATAAAACTCCAATTTCCTATTCAGGTAGACAAGGTAGTTGACGACGCGCTTCTGAAAAATATCGTCCAGCAGGCCACGGAAAATGTGAATCGGTACGCGTTTTGGTGCTTTTTATTACCAATTCTATGAAAAAAATATATTATTAAATTTTTTGATTTATTAAGAAATATTAATAGTTAAAATATTTATATTTATTAGGAAATATAAATATTTTGGGAAGTGTTTATTCTCCAGATCTACAATAGGGTAGATTGCCGGGTTGCAAATCTACACCTCTAGCCTATGATTTGAAACACACATTTTTGCACAAATTTTCGATTTTGTTAAAAAATTGTTAAAATTGTTTTTTATGATTTCGATGAAAATAATTTATCTAAAGTTTATATATTTAATTTATTGGCTTGTTCAGCGCCATCGCCAACACGAAGACGCAATTGGCGCGCGATGGAGTGAGAAGCACCTCGGATTTGAAGCGGCTGATGAAGTTCGCCATCCCGAAACAGGTAAACCAGCAATATAATATATAATTCTGTTTGAAAAAGATGATAAAAACTACTGTAAATAATCTAAGCTGAAAAATTAAAATAATAGATTTTGTAAAAAATTTTTGAAATCATCGATCTTTTTTGAAAAAAATGTTTCAGAAAATTTATTAAGTGTTGGGTACAAACACACCAACAAACTTGAGTCTACATGCCGCTGGAAGAATTCTTTAGAGGGCGGGCTTTCTCGCAGTACTGATAGAATTAAATAGCCGAATATAAATGGGCACTTTGGCATTATCGGAGGGGGGGTTTCGATTTTCGACCAGAATGGCTGATTTCTCTTAATATTTCTAATTTTTGAAAGATTCTAGGTTTTTCGATAGGCTTTCCACTGGTAAGATAATTTAATTTTGCTAAAAAAACTATTAGAACAATTAATATTACGTTACTACGCCTTTCTGGACTTGTGGAAAACTAGCCCCCCCCTGATAATGCAAATGATCCCATAAATGCTTATTTTCCGCCAATCCAGGCCGTCGAACTCAGCAAATCGCGTGAAATCTACGAGGAGTCGATTCGTCTCGTGCAGAGCCACGTCGAGAGAGGTGCTTTTAAAGAATATATTCGACAAAAAATAGTGTTGTCGGTTTATTGACGGTGTTTTAAATAACCCTTTAAATGAAGCCAAAAGATATCGAAGAAATATATAGCGAGGCTAAAACGTAGCATTAAACATACCGTATCGAAACGACATTTTGGCCAGAGAATGAGGAAACATTACGCCCAGCAAAAATTTTTGCTTTGCACGTTTTCCTGAAACCTTCAATTTTTCACGATTTTTGCTGATCAAATAATGGCATTTTGTATATTTCGAGCTGAATATAAAAATTAATTGGTGATTACATGATCAAGACCGGAATAACAGTTTCAATAAGGTTTTCCTGACGAAATTCATTTTAAAAGTTTTGGCAGTTTAGGTATGGCTGTATCGTCTAACCACAACAGTAAGAAAGGGAAACATTCGAGAAAAGTGGCATTTCTCTCAACATGTTTTTTTCAAAATAGAATTTTTTTTGCGAAATAGGAGTTGTTCTTGTGGGTTTTTCTGCTTTAATTTAATCATGTTTGTACTTCTGGTAGAAATTGCCTAACTTAGAAATTTTTTGTAATGATTCAATAACTTTGGATCCTAATTGAAATTATTTTAAGTGGAATTAAAATGTCATTTTTAAAATGAAATGTCCCAATTTAAAACTTTGTCGCGTTTGATTAGCACGTATTTTAATATACCAGTAAACACCAAAATATTAAAATTTCCAGGCCTAATGCTACCCGTCGGCGACCTGCATCCGAAGAACGTCTCCTACGAGTCGGTGCTGGCCGTGTCTCACGTGCAGACCATCATGGAGCTGTCCGGGTGCCAGGCCGGAATTTTTAGGTATTTTACGCGCTTTTTCTCGTTATAGGAATTATTTTTAATTTTTCGTTTGGCAAATTATAGAATCATTTTATTTTTAATTCCTTAATTATTTTGATATCTACTGTTTTATTTAGCTTAAAGTATAATCTATTAAAAAAAATATTATACGAATATTTTCAGGAATCCCTGCACCGACATGTGCTTCCATAATAAATATCGGTAAGCCTGTTCAAGCTTTTACTGCAATCAGCAATAATGGGTCCTTGGATTAATAATGTTTAAAACCTGCCTGAAATTTATTTTTTTTGAAACATATATTTGTAATGACCAAATTTTTTGTTGTTTACACGAACCAAATTTTTTTCTAGGTCCCAATTTTTCCCGTAAACCCTTAAGATACCTATCCATCGAAATCCTATTATCTCTATTGTCAATGAAGCTCTTTTCAAATTATCGCCGTACCAGCGCCCAAAACCCGCTTCGCGGGCCTTGGGCGCTGGAATGGTGCGTTTGCATGAGAAATTTGACCTTCCGGTAGCTCGGGTCCTTCGGACCCCCACCACACGCGCGCGTGCAACTGGCAAGAATGAGGAAATTTGTATTTTTCACATGCAAATTAGCCCTCCTGAACCCCGAAAAATGAATAAAACCGGCTTTAACTTTGTAAACTTGTATTTTATCGAAATTCTGAGAACGCCATCGGAAACAGAAGAGTCGATTACCCCGAGTGACGAAGAATTAGCGCATTTTATACACGGGAAGGCCTTCAAATCGGGCCTCGAAACTGACATCCACACACACACACAAAGATACACGCCAAAATTATATAAGGTAGGATTTTGACGCAATTTCGATAGCGCCATTGAGAAGACACGCCTTACAAATTTTTATTGAAAAAATACAGCAAATATCCATTTTTTTCGACTAAGAATGCCCGCTTTTTTGTTTTGACCAATTTTTTTGATCGTTTTGCCACTGGAAACATAGTTAAATCGTCATAAAACTATAAAAATAGTACTATTAAGTCACTTGGAGTTTGAGAACCTTTAGAAAAAAACAGTTTCCCCTAGTAATGAAGAAGCCCTTTGGTAATAAAGAGAATTCGATACTGGAATAAGGCTAACAGAGCAATCGACAAAACAGGCAGATTTAGGAAACATTTAATTACAGCTCCTACGACGGCCAATGCAACAACCTCGACCACCCGATGTGGGGCGTTTCGCAGATGCCGTTGAAGGTATCTGCCAAAATACTTTTAATTTTTGGGAAAAATGCCATGTTATATTTTTGGCGCAGACGAAAAACAATCTTTAATTAAAAAATTAATTTAATCTAAAAAAATTCCGAAATCGATGTTTCGTCAAAAATTCAAGCCATTAAAGATATAAAGTTATTAATTCACCTAGAACTGATAATGGAAACGCCTAAGCCCAAGCCTAATCTAAGCCTAAGCTAAGCCTAAGCTATACCTAAGCTTAGGCCCAAGCAAAGCCTAAGCCAAGCCCAAACCTAAGCCTAAGCCAAGTCTAAACGAACTTTAGCGCCTGCTCGCCCCGGTCTACGAGAACGGCTTCAACACGCCGGTCGGCTGGGAGAAGAACAAGCTGTACAACGGGTTCCCCATGCCCAATCCTAGAGATGTGAGTTTAAAAAACAGCTAAAAATTAACAAAGAAATCGTTAGAAATCCATCTAAAATCAAATAAAGCGTCGCTCTAAAAAATGAAATGCACAAAAAATATTTCGGAAAAGTGTTTCACATCAGTTACACTGGCCGGGGAGTTTTTACACGTAGTAATCGAATAAACAGTAATAAATTGTAAAATTAAAAAGCTTGATTTTTATTCTTTGTTATTCTCAAGTTGAAACAATATTTTTTAATGTAATTAACCGATTATTTAAATGAATTTAGGTATCACGGCAACTGATCGCTACACATGACATTACCCCGCACGGCCATCTTTCATCTATGGTGATGCAATGGGGACAGTTTGTTGGTGAGTCAGCCTAAGCCAAGCCTAAGGGTAAGCCCAAGCCTAAGCCTAAGCCTAAGCCTAAGCCTAAGCCTAAGCCTAAGCCTAAGCCTGAGCCTAAGCCTAAGCCTCCAAGTCTAAGCCTAAGCCTAAGCCTCCAAGCTTCCAAGCCTGGCCTCCAAGCCTAAGCCTAAGCCCCCAAGCCTAAGCCTGGCCCAAGCCCAAGCCTAAGCCTAAGCCTGCTTCCAAGCCTAAGCCTAAGCCTAAGCCTAAGCCTAAGCCTAAGCCTAAGCCTAAGCCTAAGCCTAAGCCTAAGCCTAAGCCTAAGCCTAAGCCTAAGCCCAACCCTAAGCCTAAGCCCAAGCCCAAGCCTAAGCCTAAGCCTAAGCCTAAGCCTAAGCCTAAGCCTAAGCCTAAGCCTAAGCCCAAGCCTAAGCCTAAGCCTAAACCTAAACCTAAGCCTAAGCCTAAGCCAAGCCTAAGCCTAAACCTAATCTAAGCTAGGGCCACCCGTTTTATGTTAATTGAACACGGCATACCAGGCCGCGAGGAAAAATAAGTGTTTCGGGAATTGACAAAAACTATTTGAGGAATCTGCCAACAATCTTGCAGTAACTGGCTCGCCTAAAACTGAATTAATCAGCTTCAAAAAAGGTTAATTTAGATGGCAGTCTTATTCTTTTAAAATAATTATGTAATTTAAAACTACAAAAACGTCAATACACTATCAGAAATTATGATAAAAATTACTTTTAGACCACGACCTGACGCACACGGCCCCGCCGCTCACGAGAAATGCCTACACGACGGGCGCCGTCTGCAACAGGTACGGTCAAAAGATAAAAGGTCATTGCACTTTTACTTCTGGTAATTGATTTTTTCGCCTTGATGGACGACTTTAAACTTATCGAAACATCTTCTTTGCAGAACCTGCGAAAACCTGGAGCCATGCTTCAACATCCAGCTGCCGAAGGACGACCCGAAGCTCAAGATGGGAAGGTTCGGGACAGTAATTTTTTTAGCTAGAGTTGATGATTTTAAATATTAAAGTAGCGATTGATCAAGTTTTTGTCAAAATAGAATTTATTTTGGCTTCATTTTGTGCAAAAAAATATGATTCAAGTAAGATATCTAGAAAATACGGGAGGCAGAAAGTTAGTTCGGGTACGACGTAACAGATAAATCGTAGATCAGTATTTTAGCAGATTCAATTAAATGTTTACCCGGGTTGAAAAGCCGCTTCGCGACTTTTCAACCCTGGCCCCGTCTGACCCCATTTTATCCTTCACTTTGCATAATTGTCCTGCATTCAAACGACAAAAAATGAAAAACAACCTCTCCCATCCCGTTGTATAGCCGAATCTCAACTTCCTGTCTATGCTAATAATACCTAACAAAGATGTTTTCACAAAAACCTAAATTCAATGTCGAAAATAGGGAATTTTGTTGAATCTAAAATGCGTGCAGTCATCTCCAGGCCATTGCGCACCTAATGACGTATCATACGTACTTTAAAATTCATCCCCTAGCGAGATATCCTCCGGACAGACAGACGGGAGTGGATGCAAAGTGGCACACACACACATACACACACATACACTATTTTTTTTTTATATATAGTAGGATAATTTGCATACGGTTCCTACTGAAGCTGGATTTGGTGCTATTAGCTTATTCGTGAACGAGAAATTCGACCTTGCCGCCGAGAAATCGGCTGAACAGAAAATAGACATACTTTTCTCGTTTCAAGGATAGGATAGTTACTATTATTAACATTATTTTATTTATTATTGTATAAGAACCACCCTAAATTTTTTTATAAAATTTTTTTACATATGCAATTTACGAGAATTTCAGAGAAGTGAAACACCCGTGCATCGAATTCGAGCGCTCGGGAGCCGTTTGCGGATCCGGAGAAACGTCACTAATCTTCGATCGGGTCACCTATCGCGAGCAGCTGAATATTGTAAGATTTCCCAACTAATTTTAAAATTATATAAACTAGTTTAAAACATAATAAGTTTAAAATAATGAGTAACTACTTCGAACTCCAAAATTCAAAATAAAGCATCAGCAATTTTTTTTGAGAATTGAGTTTGCAGGATCTTTCAGAAATCCGTGAAAAATCATGAGGTCAATTATTTTGATTCATTTAGCTTCATTCGGTTTCATCCTTAATACACAAAAAATATTATTATCTTAAATTTTTAGAACCTTTTTGAACACTTTGATCGTTTTTTTTTTTGAAGAATGTGTGTTACATTCATTTTCAAGGGGGGGCTGATAATAAATACTGTCAATTTATCAACAATCTTTTATACTACTTTCACTGTACTAAAATTGCAATTTTAGAATAACTCTGTTGCTTTTTCTGTTAAAATTTAACTAATTTATTCGCCGTTAAGTTGCTAAATGTAGAATTAAAATATGTTAAATTCATTGAATTATAATAATTATTTATTTTATTCAACGCTTTAACTTTTTAATTTAGCTAACCTCCTATCTGGACGGCTCGGTGGTGTACGGCTCGACGGAGGTGCAGGCGTTGGAGTTGCGCGACCTTTTTGGGGACCACGGATTGTTAAGGTAAGCTTTTTGAAGCTTTAGATTATTATTGATCCTTTTTAAATAAATATATTCATAACTACGAATTAAATGCGTTAAATAATTTTTCTGAATGTCAAAATTACGAATTTTCACTAATTTTTTTTTAGAATTATTTATTGCGAAAAATAGCCCGACTTGATATTGGTAGTTTAATGCAACATAGTTTTTTGACGAATTGTCGTAGTGTATTGGTAATTTCTTAAAGGGTTCGTCATGAATTTTTTAATGGATTTTGGATGTCGATCCTTAATGGATTTTTCATGCATCATTCTGTTAAACGAAAGATATGTTTTATAATTTTTAAAGTTATAATTTTAATGGGTAAAAACTTACACGTTAAAGATGCTACTTCATACCTCCGTCCTTTAAAATATTAGCTTATAGTCTCTAAAAAAACCCCAGAAATCTGATGCGATGGCAAATTCGCGTAAAATTTCACGTTTTCAAAACTTTATGTTGCGGCCATTTTCAATGTTCCGTAAAAATTATTGGGTTCAATCGATCGAAGGACTATGTCAGTTTGTAAAAGCTCTGGTTTATTAAATTCTTAAGTCGTACATTAAATGCATGAAAATTAAATACAACAAAAAGCCGTTGTCTTTTTAAAACATTTAAAAATGGGAATTGACCGGAGGCAAGGTCACGGATTTAAAAAAAATTTTATGTTGCACATTTTTCCAATATTCGGGAAAAAATTTAGGGAGCAATTGAGTGCTAAATCGATTGCGCTAAAAATACCTTACAGATTCGACATCGTCTCGGCCGCCCAAAAGCCGTATATGCCATTTGAGAAGGACTCGGATATGGACTGCCGGAGGAACTATTCCGTCGACAATCCGATCCGATGCTTTTTGGCTGGGGATTTGAGGGCAAACGAGCAGGTATTATTTGATCGTGGTTAAAATGCACCAGCCTCATCAACTTTTAAAGGAAGTTAAAAGTCGAAATTTAGCCTGTGAAAACAGGTCTAAAAATCTTAAATAGAAATTATAAACTTTTTATGTGGCGTTATACGGATAAAAGTTCCCTCAGTGATCCAGTACGGTCCTTTAACCAATAAGAAATAATTTTTTCAGGATTTTACACGGTTATTAGATATATAAGACTCCAATAAGTTTTTTAAATTGTGGTAACAATTTTTGTCGTTTTGGTCAGAAAGGCATGCAAAATTGCGACAAATATAAAAAGCTACATAATTTTTAAGTTTTTAATGGACGCCTTATCATTTCTTAGCAACAAAGAACTCATAAAAACCCTAAAAAATACAGCAGAAATTCTTAGTGGGTGAAGAATAAAATTACCTTACCCCAGCCCAACACCAAAAATTCCTTAAAATGTGCTTTTTGAATTTTTCGAGACGACTTAAAAAATAAAGTTTCAGAAAATTTGGAAATAATGAAAATTCTTACCGTTGTAATTTTAACGCTCTTAAGAGCCACGAATTCGTGTCTTGTATGCTGACTTTTAATCGAGCTTCAGAAATTTTCGGAAATGAGAAAAGATGTTTCGACCATAATTAAAAGAAAGATCTGTAAAGTTTCGGGAATTATGATTGCGGTATGGCTCGATTAAATAATTTCTTATTTTTCAAAACGTCCTTTCTAAATGTGAAAACTACCAGATATAAAAACTGGTGTCTGTTTGTTTCAGACTTTAATTCTCCTTTAGCTGGGCCTCACCTCGCTGCACACAATCTTCATGCGCGAGCACAACCGCGTCGCCGCCGAGCTGCTGGAGATGAACGTCAACTGGGACGGGGAGACCATTTTCCAGGTGATTTTGACAATTAATACTAATTAAACTTTTCAAAACATGAGACGCTTCATTCAATTAACTTTGTCTTAAGCGGAAATTCTATTCCACAAAAAGCATTTAAAAAATTTAAATTTCGCCGAAAATACGCCATTTTTGGTGGCATTGTCGATATTTTTTATAAGTCTTACGCTTAGAATAGTAAAAAATAATTGGAAAATTTTTTCTCTATTTATACTAGAAAAGTTAGATGCTAAGGGGAAAATTGGTCCCCCCCCCTAGTGCGAAAGCATCGACAGGCCCTATAAATTAAATACGGCTATTCAAAATATCGTTGTCATCACCCAAACTTCAGCTGAAAAAAAGTGTGTTTTGCTGAAAAATATTAAACCCACCAGGCGGGATTTCGTTAATATGATTCGGCGCAGAATATTGCCATGTTTTTCTCGTTCTAAAATCGCGCAAAGAAATCGTGCAACTAATGTTTTAATCCTAAAACCCAAAAACTACCTATTTTTGATACATTAATTTTTTTCAGGAAACCCGGAAGCTGATCAGCGCCATGATCCAGCACATCACCTACAGCCAGTGGCTGCCCACCGTCCTCGGCAAGGTTAGTGAATTTTAACGTTTTTTGTGACTTTTTTTGAAATTCGGATTCCTAAAAGCACCCTACTGCTTTACCGATTTTGACGAAATAAAAAATAAAAAATGCTTGCAATTAGTGCTAAACCGTTTGATTAAGGCAAATCCATGTTATTTTTACTGGAAATCGTCTGAGACACAATATTTGAGATTTAAAGGGCATTTCAAAATTTGTAATTAATTTACTTTTTAAAATTAAAACAATCCCCTAGAGAAAAATTCTAAGAATCATAAATTGAATTTTTTAGATTATACATTAAATATACATTCATTTTACTTTTATACTTGCTCATTTTTTACATTTTCATCCAGGGTTGCACTCTACAGGCAGACAACTCATTGTCATAAAATTTACCATTTTCCTGAACAACTTTATTGCAATTTTTTTTGCAAGAGAAGATTCTTTGATTTTCCAAGACATTTTTAGTTATTCAGAATCGTGCATATTTTCCAAGATAATCGAACTTGTCCAGACCGGTTTCGCCGAGCTGATTGGAGACTACATGGGCTACGATCCCACCGTCGACCCATCCATCGCAAATGCCTTTGCCACGGCTGCATTCAGATTTGGCCATACGCTAATTAATCCGGTGCTTAAAAGGTATATTTTACAAACTAGGAATACTTTGAAAGTTAGGCCACAAATGCTAGTTCAATTTAAAAAAATTAGATTTTGATGTTTCTGGCCAAAAACTGCTTGCTCGTAAATGGTGTTTACTAATTCGTTTTTGATTCCACTCGTGGAAATGCTAGCAGAGACTGTTGAGGAAGAGGAGAGGGCAGGCTAGCAGAGATTGTTGAGGAAGAGGAGAGGGCAGGCTAGCAGAGATTGTTGAGGAAGAGGAGAGGGCAGGCTAGCAGAGATTGTTGAGGAAGAGGAGAGGGCAGGCTAGCAGAGATTGTTGAGGAAGAGGAGAGGGCAGGCTAGCAGAGATTGTTGAGGAAGAGGAGAGGGCAGGCTAGCAGAGATTGTTGAGGAAGAGGAGAGGGCAGGCTAGCAGAGATTGTTGAGGAAGAGGAGGGGGCAGGCTAGCAGAGATTGTTGAGGAAGAGGAGAGGGGCAGGCTAGCAGAGATTGTTGAGGAAGAGGAGAGGGCAGGCTAGCAGAGACTGTTGAGGAAGAGGAGAGGGCAGGCTAGCAGAGACTGTTGAGGAAGAGGAGAGGGCAGGCTAGCAGAGATTGTTGAGGAAGAGAGGAGAGGGCAGGCTAGCAGAGATTGTTGAGGAAGAGGAGAGGGCAGGCTAGCAGAGATTGTTGAGGAAGAGGGGGGGGCAGGCTAGCAGAGATTGTTGAGGAAGAGGAGAGGGCAGGCTAGCAGAGATTGTTGAGGAAGAGGAGGGGGCAGGCTAGCAGAGACTGTTGAGGAAGAGGAGAGGGCAGGCTAGCAGAGATTGTTGAGGAAGAGGAGGGGGCAGGCTAGCAGAGATTGTTGAGGAAGAGGAGGGGGCAGGCTAGCAGAGATTGTTGAGGAAGAGGAGAGGGCAGGGGTAGCAGAGATTGTTGAGGAGGAGGAGAGGGCCGGCTAGCAGAGATTGTTGAGGAATTCCGGACATTTCCAGCATATGTTTAGACTTGGAAAAGACTTCAATCCAATCCCACAGGGCCATATTCCACTACACGAGGTGGGTTTTTGATTTTTATAGTATTGTTTTTGCTTCATGCTAAAAGCTAACAATTTTCAGGCGTTTTTCGCGCCAGAGCGCCTGTTGTCTGAAGGAGGCATTGACCCACTTTTGCGGTAAGTGAGGCGTAATGTGAAGAATTCAATCTGGTGGAAAACCGGTTAAAATCAGAATTTTACTTGACCATCGAGGAGCTGTTTCAAGTCATTCATAGATCGGGATCAAAATTGTACAGACGTGAAGTCAAAGCAAGTTTCTAATTTAATAAAATCAACCCCTCAAAAAAAAACTACTAAAGGATGTTTCACTTTCGCACAATAATTTTCCTGCATTTTTCCCCGACATTTCCGAGATTTTTCCGTCGTGTGATCAAAAGCTATTAAAATAGAGTAAATAACTCTTCCGTATATTTATAAAATGTAGTTTATAATTACAGATTCTATTTTAATTCTTTTTAGTGGTCTCTTCGCCTCCCCGCTCAAACTGCCAAAGAGCAACCAGGTGATGAACATGGAGCTGACCGAGAAACTTTTCCCCCGCGCCCATGAGGTATTTTAATTTTCAATTACAAATTTTCTCCTCTATTACACCAGAAAATCATCGTAATAAAAAGGTACGGTGTCAAGAACATATGAAACGACTTTAATCAAATTAAAAGACATTTCACAAAAATGTCTTTTTTATATGTTTCATAAAAAATACGAAAAAATGGTGTTTGCAAATGCTTATTGCACGGCGTCTTCTCCTTTCCATTATATTAAAAATTCCATAAAATACTTTATTAATTTTTTAATTAAAAAACTTTCTAGGAAATGAATGTTTCCTTAATTGATCTATTAGTTTTCCTCGATCTTGCTGTGATGTACGTTCAAAGCTTCAAAAAAAGCAAATAAAAAGCAACAAAAAGAAGATATATGACATTTCGAAGTCGGGATTTTTCAAGACAGCGAACATCAATTCCGGGACTCGCAGTGAAGGCCTTATCATTTATGTTATTTATGTTTTAGTTTGCCGATTTTATTAGAATTCTAGGTTTGAAAGGAGAAATTTTTTTAAGAAAAGAAATGACAAATAAAAGCAACAGAATCAAAGTAAATGGCATTTCGAAAAAAATGAAAAAAAAAACGTTTCATCAAAATCTGATGAAATCTTGGTTAATCGCAAAACAATGCCGCGATGAACTCCTTCCAGCCAAAACTACCAAAAAATCAGCTTAATTATTTTAAATTCCAGTAACCTATAAAAGCATATAATTTGAATCCAGGTCTCCCTCGACCTGGCGGTGATGAACATACAGCGGGCCCGAGATCACGGACTGCCAAGGTGGGCCTTTTTGAAACGCATAAAAACTTTTGTATGGAACAAACAAAATCGAAAAAGCCTCAAAATAAAGAAAAAATCTAGGACTTCATAGAATTCATTTTCATAGAAGCTATTTCGTTTCTATCCTAAATTTTCTACTATAGATAAAAATATTATGATCATTTTTCTAGGGCAATTTCCAGATTAAAAGTATCAGTACGACCAAAAACGTAGGCCAATTAACTAGAGAAAAATCCAGATTTATCATATTTTTCGCTGAAGCACCATTTTGCAACAACCTCTTTAATAGCTATAATTCCTCAGGGGAAGAAGAAAAAATAATGGAGGCGTCTGGATTAAAAATTTTAAGGACCAAAAAATGTGTTCCAATCTTCTTGTAATACGTGCATAAAAATTTGCCAAATTGATCTGATGTACTTGGCGTTCCGCTCTACCTACCATTCCAAACATACGCCCGACAGTAAAAATTCAAAAACCTAAAAAATCTGGGAATTTGATAAAAAATATATTTTTAGGTTAGATTAAATTGCTATATTAAAAAACGAATTAAAATATAAGAAAAACGATAGAAGATTGGAATAGACCCTTGAAAACAAAGCATCAAAAGAGTTTAAAAAGTATAAATGCTTCAATTTGCTTAGATTCAATAATCATAGTATTGATTGAGAACTTCCCATTACCAAATCTCAGCGCCAGCGAAAATGAAATGAAATGAAAGAAATGAAATTTTGAAACTTGTTTTCGCAAATTCGTTTAATGGCAAATATTTTCCGGTGCCCTAATCCGTAGAATTTGAAACTTATTATTTGCCAGAATTCATAAATTTTTAGCTGGACGGAGTACCGTAAATGGTGCAAACTGTCGGTACCGACCACGTGGGAGGAGATGGCTACCGAAGTACCTGATGCCGATGTCCGGAATAAGCTGCGGACGCTCTATGGCCATCCTGGTAAGCCTTCGGGGTAGTTTCATTGAATCCCGAATGATCTCTGTTTACCCCGCATTTTTTACTGCGACAGTTTTTGGTGCAGGCTGTAACAGCGACAATTAATGGTTTAGAGATTAACGCCTAGAGATTAAAAAGACATCAAATTTTCTCGATTTTCGCAAATATTTATTTTGACGAGTCAAATGGTATATCAAATTTTAATAGATTTTAATCATTTTAACCGCGTTTATAATTTCAATTCAATCAAAGGCAACTGAATCAATAGAACGCTGCAAAGGTGCATAAATTACTGATTTTTACCTCCAGTGGTTCCCCGATTTTTTCCGAAACATTTTTTTTGCAGAAATTAGCATCTGAAACCAAATTACCAATTCACTACTTTTGTTGGTGCTTTGTTAGTAGTTTTTAATTCCCAATTTAATTTTATCAATAGTGACTTAATTTTGTTTGTTTGCTGGCCACAATTGAACAAGTCATTGCTGGATCCACAATCGAAGCCATCCTACCTATTATACGAAACACTCGTTTTCAAAGCGTGTTTCGGTCTTTGAACAACCTATTACTTTCCTTTAAAAAACGTCACCTCCTTCATTTCAGGAAACATTGATTTGTGGGTGGGCTCTGTGGTGGAGACGAGGATGCCGGATGGACTTGTCGGTCCCACGTTCGCCTGCCTCATCGCCGATCAGTTCAAGCGCCTCCGCGCCGGCGACCGACATTGGTATGCCAATTTGTGATTCTTAGAATTACAAAAATCACTTTTGCTACTACATTCACTTCAGACTTTATTATTACGCGGCTTTGAAAATTCAGGGAAATATGATGTTTCAAAAAAGGTCCAAAAGCCGTCTCTTAGCACTTGCACTAATTGTTCTTGCGCATTCTCGATTTCGCTAAGAAATTTTCGCCTATTAGAGCCGCAAATAAGAATCGATGTTAGCGATATTTTGTTTTCAAAATAAAGCACAACTTTGCGTAACAATATTTTAGTAATCCGTAGCAGGTGTGTAGGAAAAAAATCAAAATCACTTGAATTTTATAAATTAAAAAAACCACAACAAGTAAAAATCGTCAAAAAATAAAAATAGAAAAAACAACAATAGATATAATCGGCTTAGATAGATATAAATTAAGGTACGAGAACGAGGGCGTCTTCAGCAAGGCGCAACTCCAGCAAATCAGGAAAACCTCGCTCGCCCGGATGTTCTGCGACAATGGCGATGATATCGATCGGGTTCAGGTGGTGCAAAGACATTGTCGTTGTTTAGATCCAATTTTCATTACAAGGAAATGAAACATTTTTTAACCCCCAGAATTTTATGTTTTAACTTTTGCATATTCTTCTCTTAGTCCTATATTTTTATTTTCATTTGTTTCCTAATGATTATCAGATCTAAAATCGACTTTGTAAGTCTTAAATTTTTGATTAATTTACCAATATCTAATGCCAATTTTATGAGACTCTATTTATTTGACAACATCTGGAAGCAACCACTATTCCAGAACGCCCCCATTTTAGCAATTAACTTTGAAACATTGACTTCCTAACGGGTTGGACGTTATCTGTACTACTTTTTAATTATAATTAAACTCGAATTCCAATATTCTTGTTCTTTTTACAGCGCGACGTCTTCTTCTACCCGGGCAACTCGACGCTGTTGTACGAAAAGTGCTCAATGATCCCGGAGGTTCGAAACAAAGAGCAATTTAAGCAAAATATGCTTCAAAAATATTACTGTCTCTGCGATTTTTGGGCTTTAAAATAACTTTGACTTCTTGACATCCAATCAAATTTAAAATGATTTTCGCACGACAAGCGGAAAAATGTGTTTCACAAAATTCCGTCAATGTTTTTTTGAAACAATTAATTATTAATATTAAGAATTAATTAACTGAAAGCTGTATGGTTTTGTAAAACTTCTAAAATTTTCAGATAAACCTGAACATGTGGCAAGCGTGCTGTGAGGGAACTTGCTCGATGAACCAGGATTCTCAATTCACTGGAAAGTAAGTTTTTAGAGCAGGCTAGCGGAGATTTTTGAGGAAGAGGAGAGGGCAGGCTAGCAGAGATTGTTGAGGAAGAGGAGAGGGCAGGCTAGCAGAGACTGTTGAGGAAGAGGAGAGGGCAGGCTAGCAGAGATTGTTGAGGAAGAGGAGAGGGCAGGCTAACAGAGATTGTTGAGGAAGAGGAGAGGGCAGGCTAGCAGAGATTGTTGAGGAAGAGGAGAGGGCAGGCTAGCAGAGATTGTTGAGGAAGAGGAGAGGGGAGGCTAGCAGAGATTGTTGAGGAAGAGGGGAGAGGGCAGGCTAGCAGAGATTGTTGAGGAAGAGGAGAGGGCAGGCTAGCAGAGATTGTTGAGGAAGAGGAGAGGGCAGGCTAGCAGAGATTGTTGAGGAAGAGGAGAGGGCAGGCTAGCAAAGTGCATTTAAAAAATTTCAGATTGTTTTAAATAAATTGTTTTTCTGTTCTTCATTTGCATTTTTTTCCATCGTTATAACGGCCAGAACTGGTGGCTCGTCGTTCAATAGGTACCCAAAATAAGTTGAAACATAATGATTTTTCAGTAGTGTAAAATCTAGTTTTCCGCTCATTAAAAATTTTTAGGCATCGTGACGCGCAAAATAAAATAAGTGTTTTATTAATTTTCGATTTAAGCTCGCGCAAACGCCGCTCAAAGCGCACCTGCCAACTCGATGACGGCAAGGTGAAGCAGGAGGGTGAATCGTGGAAGATGGAAGAGTGCACGACGTGCCAGTGTCAGGTATATTACGCAGCTTAATAGATTCTTGTTAAATGGAAGCAAAATCTCGGTATTTAGTAGTAGTATTTAGTATTTAGTAGTAAATTAACGTTTCAAAAATTCCTGCTCACCGGAATCACCTGGGCAGAGTAATTCTTCTTGACAAACAAAGCACTTGACTAAACAATAGCTATTGAAATCGCTGTTTTTAATTACATAAAAACATCGATGCGGAAATAGCATCATTTTGTGTTGCTTTTTGGATACTGACAATCCTGAATGGGCAATAAACCCCTGAAAATTTGACAGAAAGTTAAAAAAGAGAAATGTTTCAAAAATTTAATAGCTTGCGGAGGGCCTTACCTATACAGTTCCCCCCCCCCCCCACCCCCCCACGTTCCCCTGCCCC